CACTTGGTTTTCATTCATTTGAACAATTGAGAGAGCGAGAGAACAGACGTTACGGTTAACAGGAGCAACTCTGTAGTGAAATGAAAGAGTATTTGCTCCCTTACAGATTTGTTTTCACAGTTACGGGTAACAGATTTGCAAGCAGATTTTGTGATCAGACAAAGATAACATGAGTAAACGCAAAATGCAGTTGACTGTTGTTTCACTTATTGAAGAAATAAAAAAAGTGAAATATGTTGCTCCTTACATCACTAAAGAGGAACTATGTAAGGTCTCCAAGCATCTCAACTGGTTTTCAAACATCTCAGTCAAGTTCTGTATGTGTCCTTGGAGTCATTTTGGTGCGTCAGACATTTCTGGTAAGGATCACCACTGTCCTAAAGTCTTAGAAATAGCCAGGTAAAGCTTTTTGGACTTATGTGTGAATTACTTTTTATCTCAATTGTTCTTGAATTTCTTTAGATCAGGGGCATAGTGTGTTGCTTTTTTTTAAAGCTTATAGCCTACCTCATGTTGTTCGACTTTTCTGCTTCATTAGTGTTGTTAAGAAAAAAGAAGGATAAACCAACCAACTATTATGCAATTCATTAAAAAAAACATATTAAGAGGTGAGCTTCATATATGAATCCTGAATACTTCAACAGCGCAGAGAAATTAACCTTTAGTTAAAGTCTTTCATCAATATATTCAAGGTGATACAAATGCAAAGATTTGATCAATGCTAGAACTGTTGCCTAAGGATGTGCAGTGACTTATAGGTCACTGTACATCCTTGAAACTTGAAATACATTTTCTGTAATTCTTTTATCTTAGATTGAAGAATTTAGATAAAAACACCAAACTAGAGACAGCGATATACTTATCTAAAAAAAAGTTAAAATCTTGTATTCATCTTCAAGAAATGTTGATGTTTAACAATCATCCACCCCCTTTTATTAGCTTCTATAAAATAATTGTAACTAAAGTTGCACATCTCTAAAGCAATTATGAAAAAAATAATGATATTGGAGACCAGGACGAGGAGGAGCCAAGTTTAAACTGAGGAGGTTGAAACTCCAAAGCTCACTGTTACAGAACTGCAGCAAAGCATGCCTTCTTAGGGTCACCAGATCTCCATAACAACCGTCTATTTTAAGGCTTTTGTGCACATCTTTACCAGGGTTATCAATAATTGTGGAGGGTGCTTTGAATTGCTCTTAGTAAAAATTGATTAGCACATATAATAGGCCCAGCTCCCATTGGAGGGGTAAATTGCGAAACACCTCACATCTTTCGAAAGGTCACGAGACGAAGAACAGATTTTTGAGTTTTATATTAAATTAGTTTATTTTCCAGCTGCCTAATAACTCATTCGACATACGACAGAAAGTCATGTGTTGAAGTCATGAGATGTTCTTTGCAGAACAAAGTTGTTTTGTTATCAGCAGTAAAGCAGTTTTTTTTTTTTTCCAGGCATTATTAGCAACCATATGCAACGTTTTTCGTAACCAATCTCTTGATTATTCACTTATTTGAGTTCTTAAAAAGAATTGTGTTTAAGGAAGAAGAAAGTTACAAAAGCTACCAAGGAGTGTATAAATGGAAGTTAAGATTTCGGAAATAAGCTGCTGAGAAACAAAAGTGAAAGAGACGTGCGAAAGGCACAGTCTCATATCGCCGGGGAGGGCGAACTTCCCTTTTTGTCTGGTTGTTGTGTTATAGTAAAGAAGCTCTGTGTAGGTCTCTTTGTGTGAATCAGGCATGCACAGATACACAAAAGATGCACACATTGTCAAGCAGAACCACTGACACCACAAACACCTACAAATATACTCATGCACACACAAACATGACAAATGTACACCACAAACTTCCCGCATACTCATTTCTCTTTGCCTTTTACTGACAGTGACTGAGCCACTTTTGAGAAAGCTGAGTGGGTGTGTTGACTGGAAACAAGTGGCATTGACCCAACACAACAGATTTAAACCTAAGGATAACCGAAGAACACGTTTAAGCCTCGTTCAGAGTGAAAGCAGGCGTCCGGCAGAGATTATCAGGAGCTTGCTGCTATGGTTTAAGATGGAAAAACGAGCAACAAATTTGAGGAAGTTGTTGCTCCTCAGGAAGTTTTGTCATCCGCGTTGGAATTTTAGTCAAATCTCCATGAATACAGTTTTGGAGATTCTTCATTTTTAAGTCTGTGCTCTTTTAACATTTTTATGTGCAAATCAGAGAATCGCTCTCTAGTTTGGACACGGTTGCCAATCTGGCCTGGTCTCAGTCCCACTTCATGCAACCAGTCAAGTGCTTCACTAGTTGCATCAAGTGTACTTCAGATTTAACACCTTAAATGTGTGGTAATTCGTTGCTTGCTAAAAATACAGCTTTACTGCATGTCACCAGATTTCTGGGAGGCAAGTGGCCAAGAATCCTCAGTTGACTGGAAAAGACTTGATAGCAGCTTTCATGTTGCATAGCAAGGCTCATATTTAGTACTGCAGACCAATAACATGACAGTGATCTCAAGAATGCCTCCAGGCACTTACTTTTGACTTCTGAAGAAGTCTTTGACTAAAGAGAAGAAGTTGCGCTAGACTTTGTCATGTCCATCATTGTTACTGACGTGAAAAAAACCCCCCAGTCATAATCTATTTTTACCCGTCAATTTTTAAAATGATAATGACATGTCATCACACATGAAGCAGATGAATATATATGTTTTTCTCCACAGTAACAAAAACTGTGACCCTAGTATAAACAGTAAAATCAAACGATTGCACTTAAATTTTAAACGATTCACCTGTTGCAGCCTGAAATTTAAGTCTCAAACTTTCCTCCTGGTCTGCATGGACCTGAATTGCACACCCGCTAGTGTGCAATCAAATGTTTCTGAATCTTGATGTTGATCTAGAGCAAAGTTGGTCCTGGAGGCCCGGCATCCTGCATGGTGGTAGTAACAACCTTTTCAGCATGACCATGTTCTCCTTAGGTCTCTAACGAGCCATCATTTGATCCAGGTGCGTTAAACCAGGGAGAGAACTAAAACATGCAGGATGCCGGCCCTCCAGGACCGACTTTGGACACCCCTGATCTAGAGGATGAATCCGCAGTCTGCTGTCTCACCAGAGACTGGAATTACAAGCACCACTTTGGCTGAAATTTTGAAATCAGAGAACATTTCTCCAATTGAAGCGATCAAACTCTCTGAATAGGGGCTTCCTGGTCCTGCAAGCTTTCGCTTCAGCTGGAGGAAATTCTGCAGCAGGGGTTCAGCTGCAACAGACACACTTCAAATAGCTCCCAAATAATTCAGGCCAGAGATATTTTTTTTTCTTTGACTGATTTAGTTACCTCTACGATGTACTATTGAAAATGTCTGCTGATATGCACCAAGTGGTCAGGCGTGAGAGTTGTAATCTCCTCTTCATCAACTCCTTTGTGGTTCAGGTATTATTTGAGATGTTTAGATGCTAATGCTCTAAAAAAACTAATACCTTGTTGCCAAGGTTATTCATCATGATAACTATCCAAAAGTAAAAATTGAAAGTGATAGGGAAGCAGAGGGAATAGTTGCCTAAAGATGCAACACCTCAGTCCAAAAAAATAATAATAAACAAAAGTTTACAAATGAAACAAATCAGAACTAAAGTAACAGGGATACTCCGACATGTTGCCACCATGAGTGGCACAGTTTGTGTGAAGCGTCTTTACCATACTTCGTACTGCGTGATGGATATACTGAATCAGTGTCTGCTGATTTGTGACTCTTTGACAATATTTTCACATTTCTTAGCCAAACTAAGGTTTCAAAGATATTTTAAAAAGTTTGAGATTGAACATTAGTGAATTTTTACTCCACCTCCTGAACTTTCTTTTCTTAATTTTCGGTCTATAAGCATCTCTTTCTTTGTAAATAATTAGTAACACACTCCTGAGTTGCGAATCTTGTGGTGGCATTTATCAATATGGATAAGAACAAACTCACATATTTTCTTGTTTTTTTGTATTTTTTGCTGTATTTTGACATTTTCCCCAGGTTAAAGAGTGAGGAAATGCTTAATTTGTTTAAAACAACAAAGTTTAATGTTCTGTGACAGTTACTCTAAAGATAAAGTTTAACTGAGCGTGGGAGCAGCCGGGCTTGAAATAAGAGAAATAAGCTCATGCACTACAAACCTGTACTTTTCTGAATATATCCTGTGGATTTGAATGGTGAAACTCAAAAAGTCCAATTATTATTATTTTCCTCTCAGCACCGGGGGAACAGGAACAGCATTCATCAACACCAAGCAATGTGTTGATGATGTTTACTGCTGCTTGCCCTTTTCGTGCTGCATCTTGAAGTCATAGGTACATGTAATTAGAAGCTATTCAAAAACTGGGTTACAGTGAAATCCATGACTTCGTCCATAGATTGCACTCCACAGGTGGTGCCTCTTGTGCATCCCTCCAGAATTATATTGGTTGGTAGACAACGTTTCATCCGGACAACAATAGATCACAGTATGGAAATTGTAGCTGCAGTTTCAGAATGTGGAGCGCAGTGGACTGGATCAGTAGGTCCTTAATAGCCTCAGCACATCTAAATGCATTTAGGCCAAAAGGCCATTCAGTCCCATTCACGTCATCAGAAAGATTTTTTATAAGTTTTATAATCTTGACATATTGTAAAGCTAACTGTGTAGACTTACAGTGTATCATTTTAAAGCCTTACTCAGTGCTGTCTAAGTTATGTGTTGTGGTCAAAAACATGACTGCAAAGCATTGGAAATTTCTGTTTGTTTCAGAAAACAAATTGGTTGTATTAATCTACAGAGATACCACTCTTTATTGCAAAAGTGTCAGAGAAAGTAGAAATCCAACATCGGTTGCTTATTGTGCCGACTTCTTCAGGAGTCATTCACAGTTATCTCTGCAAATTGTCAAACACAATTAGACGGTGTTTAGACAATCTGCTTTGTTTGACCCCAGCTTTGAGCTTTGTCATTGACTGTGCTAATTAGCTGATTCCTTTGCAGCTTCAGGGTGTTGATGATGGCAGTGTGGATCCAGGCCCAGCAGCTTCAGGGAGATGCTCTTCACCAGATGCAGTCACTGTACGGCCAGCACTTCCCCATTGAAGTGCGCCATTATCTATCCCAGTGGATAGAAAGCCAGCTCTGGTGAGTTTTGTTTCCATTCAAGGCTGCAGGAGTCTCGGTGCATGCACATGAATTTCACTTTTTTTTTTTTTTTTTTTTTACGTGCATGTATGTGTGTTTCTAGGGATGCTATAGACCTGGAGAACCCACAGGAGGAGTTCAAGGCTAAACGCCTCTTGGACAGTCTGATACAAGAGCTGCAAAACAAGGCTGAGCACCAGGTTGGAGAAGATGGCTTCCTTCTTAAAATCAAACTGGGTCACTACGCTAACCAACTCAAGGTAATTTCAGTTTTTATTTTCGTTTGTCTATTGAGTCACGCCTATTGTTTTTATACTTTAAAAGAACCCGGAGTTTTTATATATTTTGGTGTCAAATATCATCTGGGTTTTCTGGAGGTCTTGTCAAAGGTTGTCATTTGGTTTTTTATGTTGCACTACTTGACACTTTTGCTTCTGTTTGTTTAGTCAGTTACCCCTGACATGCAAACCATTTAGGCATAAAAAAAAAGACTCTTAAACTCAATTAATGATGATTTGTGTCTACACATTAACATGCAACTTACTAAAGGAGAGGTTTTAAGTTGGATTTTATTGTGACTCATAAAATAGTGTTGTGGCATCAACACGATTCTGCAAGAAGTGTGAGCTGAAAACATGACATCAAATAATCATCAGCTGGAGGATAATGTGCCTTACATGTTTTCTGTGAGGTCTTTGCTAAAATGTCTCCCTATTTTTATTTTTTAAAATGTGTCTTTCAGTTCTGAGCATCTTCTTTTGACATTTTTAGACTTGTACATTCTTCTTCTTCTTCCTCTGCTGGTTCTCTTTCTCAAAGAAAAGATATGGCTAAACATTACTTTTAAAAGTTCGAGGAAAGTTCCTTGACGCAAGTTTAAAAAGCACAAAAACACAGACTGGATAGAACTTTTGTGCAGATGTGTACATGATAATAGATGTCGATATTAGCCATGGAAGCTCAGTGAGGTTTCCTAACGACAAATAAACTGCACTAATATAGTTATACTTTCTACAGAGACAGTTAACAAAAGCCTTAGACGCTGAAGACCACCGATTCTGCCTTGTTGTACCGTAATGGATCAGACAACAAATTTGTCACACTTCCAGCATAACTTTCATCCTCATCATTATCATCTTGACGTTCATCAGTACAAGTCAGCCTATACAGGTCTTATAATTCAAAAATAGGAAAGATGGGCAAAGTTTTAGGTTCCTAGTTGTTTATTTTATTTAGCTGGATGGATAGATGTCTTTTTCTAAACGCTTTTTAACTGTAATTATAACTGTAATTATAACTTAGATGTGTAATTATAACTTATATATATATATATATATATATACATACATACATATAATATTTACTATTATTATTTCCGTTTTAAAATTGTTTAGGTAATGGAAATATATGTGACCTCCTTTGAGTAAATAGAAAAAATAGCATCAAGGTGCCAGGGTTATGTTTTCGGCAAAATATTAGAGTTGCTTACAATGAAACAGGATAGATGTTTAGAAGGCACAAGTGTTCAGCTCAGTTTCCTTCCTTGTAGTGGTTCTTAGAAAGAGCACACAACACGGCGAGTGTTTTGAGAACAGGTTGTATCCGCATGGAGGAAAACAAGAGAGCAGCCCAAGTCAGCTACGGTAACCAACCAACACTGCTATTTACGATCAAACTCCCTGCTCACAGAAATATTCCTGTGACTAGCTTCCTCCTTTAGCCTGAAGCCTGGCATGGAAATACAGATGGAATAACTTATTAACCCTGACGCTGGGCTCATGTTTAATACAGTAGATTTTAATCTGTTTACTTTTAGATGTTTATTTTAAGTTTAAAAAAAAAAAAAAGCAATTTCACAAATTATTCATCAGCATGAAAGTATCACGGCATCCTCTTATCTTTATGGAAAGTTGTGATTTCCGTCGCTGAGGTGTGCTAATTGATTTTAGCATGTCTCCAGCATTCACTCCAGATCTTAACAGGCTTCTCTGATGTACTAAATTGGTCTTAACATGGTTCATGCTCTCCTTTTCTTTCAGAGCACGTATGACCGCTGTCCTCTGGAGCTGGTTCGGTGTATCAAACATATCCTCTACACAGAGCAGAGGCTCATCAGAGAGGCTACAAATGTAAGTTTGATGCAGATGGCATTTGCCGTGTGTCGCCCGCACACTCACGCACACGCACGCAAACACACCTCCATCCGACGATAACGACAAATCCTAGACCAAGTCCAGCATTACTGAGTGAAGCCTAAATTACATGATGGTCCAGAAATTGGGTAGTTGGATATCTGCTCTCATTTTTCCGCTGTTTGTCCACCAAATGTCAGCCCGTTTATTACAGTGTTGTAAAAGTGATTCATTAGCACATTAGCGTCTGTTCAGTTTTACGGCTGACTCTTCCCTTTTAAATTTCTCCACTTTAATGCCATACGAAGTGCTGCCTTTTTTTCAGTATACACAATGGCCCTGAGTTCTAAAACCCTGAAACCAGCAGTGCGTGAAACATCTGACTCCCACTAAGTCCTGCTCTGAATTGATTTTCAGTCACAACATGTTTTTTTCTATTTGCGAAATTGACTTTGACCGAATTAATTTCATGCTGTTTAGCCTGAACCTTCATGGCACCATGATGCACTCACAGTCTGCCAGCAAGCGCACATGCATTTTTATTTTTTTTTTTTTCCATCTCAGTTTTCTGTGTTTCCACAGTATTTGCTTTTAGTCGCCATGTGGGGAGTTTGTCGTCAAATACACTAACAGCAACATAGAGCAGTCAGCATCCCACCCTGAGGCCTCTAAAATAACAGCTCACCAGTGGCTACCCATTTGTATTAACAATCCTAATAAACCACCCAGTCTTCCACGTGGACAGCTATTTGTCTTTCTCATTCCTCTGTCTCTACGTTTTCCACGTTTTATTTAGTCAAGCTCTCCAGTGGGTGGGATGATGGACAGCATGTCTCAGAAGTACCAGCAGATCAACCAAGCCTTTGAGGAGCTTCGCCTGCTCACACAAGACACTGAGAATGACCTGCGCAAGCTCCAGCACAACCAGGAGTACTTTATCATCCAGTACCAAGAAAGCCTTCGCATCCAGGGTGAGACCGGAGGGCACGCACGTCAATCTTGTTGTTGCTCTAAATTGATTATTTGACTTACAGACATTTGCAATGAGCAGCCACAGGTTGGGTAATTAGTAAAGGAATCTATAAAGGTGAAACATGTTTAGGCGCCACGGTGTGTGGCTTTTGTAAACATTTGGTTAAGTGAATTGCGTCCTGTTTTGGTGCCTTTGGATTACCAAAATTGGCTCCGTTTGCTAAATGCCAGGATGCATTTGTTCAAAATCAGCAGCAGTGTGCATGCACAGAGATTCCAATGCATTTAAACAAGATGGAAAACCCCAGATGACGATGTCACGTTTTGGTAAGCAACTGTCACACTAGTGGCCTTCATTTCAAAATAACCAGACAGGAAATGGGAAAAGAGAGAGAAAGGAGGTAGACATGTAGCAAAGGTCCTGAGCTCTTCAATGGAAACTGCCAACTGCTTCAGCAAAGACTAATGGCCTCCGTATGTGGGGCACCTGATCTGCTGCTGCACCAAGTCCAGCTAAAGCAAGTCCTGGACCAACATGGCTTGAAAGGCCGCTCAGAAGCCATTCCTCTAGAAGCCGCTTACGCATTCAGTTTGCAAATGCCCTTTAACTTTCAGTCACGTTTCCTGTTGTCTGATAAAAGTGAAGTTTGTTACCAGTAATAACCGTTTTTATTGTACATCTGATGATGTTTGCTGCCTGAGAATAGTGCCACAACTGTGAAGGACTGTTGGGCACTTCGATAATCAGATAAAATAATCAGCAAATAATTGAATTAAATAGAATGTATGTATGTAAGCAAAAAATATATATCATTAACTTAACCTTTTTGGAAATAGATCTACTTTCCGTAATCCTAAATTTGATAAAGATTGGAAACATTAAGGTTTTTTTAATCCCAGACAGTGAGGGGGGTAAAAAAAAAAAAAAGAAAAAGTTTTCATAACATATTTCATAACGGCTTTTTTTTTTTTTTTTAAAAAGGCCACCCACAAATGGAAGTTTTTAAAGTCTGTACTACCCTAAAGGGATTTCTTTTGAGTTAACTATTATGGCCCAGAGGGTAAAACATATTCAGTATTTGCACAAGTTAAAGACTTTCTACCTCCTCTGTTTTGGTCAGTCTTTAACTTGTCCACACCCTCTGTAGCTCAGCTGTCCAGCCTTGCCACTCTGCCCCCTTCTGACCGGCAGCTACGTGAGCCTGCCCTTCTCAGCAAGAGAGCTACTGTGGAGGCATGGCTGACAAGAGAAGCCAACACACTACAGAAATACCGCCTGGTGAGAAACCTCAGTAGAAACACTTCATATTGTTTGTTTTGGTTACACATTTGTAAAGCATCTGATTTTGATTTTTTATTTTCATTTTTTTGCTCGCAGTCCATCACTGTGAGCACTAAAATCGTATTGTGATAGTTTGCGCTTGTTTTGACCGTTTTCTGTGCAGGACCTGGCAGAGAAGCACCAGAAAACACTGCAGCTGTTGCGAAAGCAGCAGACAATCATTCTGGATGACGAGTTGATCCAGTGGAAGAGACGGCAACAGCTGGCAGGCAATGGGGGCCCGCCGGAGGGGGGCTTGGACATCCTTCAGTCCTGGTGGGTTTTTTTTTTCCATCTCCTGTTGAGAACACAGCCACTAGAACTCCTCACACAGCATGAAATTATGGGTTTATTAGGCTCCAGCGGACTTCTTGTGGGTTTATCTGAAGCTTTTAATAACAGAAATACACAAGGATATAAAGTGCACATACACACATTGCTATTTCCTACTCACTGCCTTTGGGAGCTTTGTTGTTCTTATTGTTTACTTACTCTTTATTTTATGCTGAAAAAGGCTTTTTATATACTCTAAGCTCATTTTATTAAGCAGCATTTAAGCACATCTTTCTGTTGTGATTTAAAAAAATATTAATAGACGTATTTCTAATGTGTGGATTTTTTTTTTGTGTGGACGTTTTTTATGTCAGGTGTGAGAAGCTCGCTGAGACTATTTGGCAAAACAGGCAGCAGATTCGGAGGGCAGAGCACCTTAGGCAACAGCTGCCCATTCCTGGACCTATCGAAGAGCTGCTCAATGAACTCAACAGCACTATCACGGATATCATCTCAGCTTTGGTCACCAGGTGTGTGCGCTTTTGAACTTCCTCTAAGTATTTGCACCCATACACGTTTCTTCTGTGATTGCTTTTCTGTCATTTTTTTAGCATGCTGACAACAAACAAAGATAATATGAGTAAATACAGTAGGGAGATTTTAATTATTTCAATTATGAAGTGGGCCCATCTCATGTAGTTGTTCTTCTCTGAAACTAATAGCCAGTTGTTTCACCCTTGGCGGCCATCAAGTGTTTGCCTTTATATTGTCGTGTTGGAATTTTGGCCCAAACTTTTTTACAGATTTTTTTTTTTTTTACCCACATTTGAAGTATTATTTTTTTACCTATTCTGAGATGGAATTGCATAAACTCTATTTTTAAGGTCACACACTGAAATAGTGTGACATTTTTTTTCTCAGCAGAATTAAATTATGCTAAGTTGTTCAGGCTGCAGATCTCTACCATCAATATGTTTCTCTCTGGTCTTTTGGTCAGTTCACAATTAGTTTGTGGAATCATAGAAAAGTCTTGGGGATCATTTAGGGATTTTTTTTTTTTTTCGCAAATGTGAGAAAAGTCCTTGTGGTTTCCTTTTGGTCAGCAGAGGATTTGGCCTTAGAGTTTTTATTTGGAAGCCAATGTTTCCCCAGTTTAGTTTTTCTTAATGTCTTATCCTAAACAACTTAGCTGACCTTAGCTGATTATACTGCTTTAGATGTTGTTCTGGGGTCTTTTATGAGCTCCTGGATAAGTCGTCAGTGAGCTCTGGAAACCAGTCCTTGGACGGCCACTCCAAGGAATATTCACCACTGTCCTATGCTTTTTTCCATTTTGTGGAAAATTACAGTCACCGTTGTCTGCTAGAGCCAAGGAAATAATCTTTTCCCTCTTTCCACACGTTTTTCGTCTGTTGTTGAATTTATTTAGCTTGGATATTTGCCTTTTTTATGTCTCTTTTTATTTAGCCTACTTCACGTAATCAATTCTGTTTAATTGATTTCCTGACTCTGCCAGGTTGTGGTTTCCAAAAGTTAAATCCAGCTTTGAAATGTTTCAGCGAAGGAGGTTATTATATTTTCACTTACGGCCAGGTCGGTTTGGACTGGAAGTCATCATTTAAAAACTTATTTTTCTACTAACACAGGTCTGCTTCTTTGTCTGACATAAAAAAAAAATCCCTGGTTTAATGACCTGACATATTTAAGTGTGACAAAAATAGCAAAAAACAGAAGTAATCTGTCATAAGGAAAACAACTTTTCACAGCACTGTAACTGTTTTTTCTTATCATTATACATCGTACCCGAACAGTGTTGCTACAGTCTGAAAGAGTCATCACTGGTCCATTAGAGTAGCTTGAGATAGAGAATGGAAGATGAACCCACCTAAAGAGGTCTACTGAGACATAAGGCAGACATTGTGAAAGAAAGGGGACATGCAACTTGTTTCAGTCCATTATTGTAGTCCCCAAAGGCCCATCTGCCAGGATGCTTTTCGCCTTTCAGCATATCTGAGCAGGAGAACGCTAAAGTTTTTGACAGCACCCTCTCACACTGCCTCATAAGATAGTCCCCACAGGTACTGATAACACACAGAGAAGTCGTGTCATTGTCACAGCAATTTATAACAGGCCACAGACAAGCCTGTGACCAAACAGTAATGCATTGTTTCTTGGGCAACGTCCTCTTTAGAGTCTCCTAAAGTCTTCTGAGGTTTCACACTGTCAGAAGGAGAGAACTGTGTTCCCAACGCCGCTCACCTTCAGCTGCACATCGGAAGTCTTTGAGTCTCATAACAGCATCATAATTTTACTCACGCTCCCTCTGGGCCTGCAGGATTATGCTGTTGGTTGTATCGTATTCTGTCTGCCTTTTTGCTTTACATGTTTGTGTGTTACTACATAAATGAATAATGTTGACGGAAATATTTCAAGAGAATATTTCAACCGAAGCGGTATTTTTAGCGTGACCTACCTTTAATTCTCATTGTTGTGCGCAAGGTCATTTAAAGGCTTGAACCTGCTTAAAGGAAGCTACAATTGTGTTTTATTATTAAATCAGAGATGTTAAGATTCGCCTGCATGACTGAATCAAAGGAGGAGGATTTTTAAAAAACTTATTTAAATAAAATTTGTAAGGAATGAAGATATGCTGGTGGCCATGGATAAACTTTATTATTAGAATTACATTGATAATTGAAATTGGGTTTAAAATGAATAATTACAGCTGCTGTGGAAGACATTTTTTTAAAGAAGCAGTGTTACGTAAAATTGACTTATTTGAGCTTTACTTCATATTATTCCATTATTCCGTCATCAAAACATACCTGGAATGTTGCTTTGATTCATTCATGCATGTTTGAAGAATCCTTTAATCTGCTGCGACATCCATTCGAGGAGCTTAAATACTTGGGGGAACCGAGCGCAGCCTTTTCCTCGGCAGTTTCCAATTAGAGTTTTTGCCTCACAGAAAAACTCTCCACTCAGCTCCTTCAAACTAGTCAGCAGCAATTAGCAAACACTTGGTGGAGCTGCGCATCAGCATTATATGAGCTACTTCTCAGTGCAAAGCTGGTAAAAACGTTGCTTAAAGCTTATTGGAGAAGCATTGTGGGGATGAAGGTAACATAGTTACTTGATTGTGCTATAAAGTGGCACTATATGTCTGAAAAATACATAATACTATAAGAAATAAGAAAAATAACAAGATTAAACATTCATAGTTTTTGAACATCCAACTAAGTAGAAATATGTTCTAAACTCTATAAAATTTCACTTTAACATGGTGTTAACTGTATTACAGGTGACCACATAAATACACACCGGTTAGTTCTGCTTTTACCTCCTTGTGTGACCTTCCATTCTGTGTTTACAGCACCTTCATCATTGAGAAACAGCCACCCCAGGTTCTGAAGACCCAAACCAAGTTTGCTGCCACAGTACGCCTCCTAGTGGGAGGGAAATTGAACGTGCACATGAACCCTCCACAGGTCAAAGCAACCATAATTAGCGAGCAGCAAGCCAAGGCATTGCTGAAAAATGAAAACACAAGGAAGTAAGTTTACAGAGCTCCCTTTCTCTGTCAATGCAAATTTAAAAACATTTAAAAAAAAAAAAAAAAAAAAAAAAAAAAAAAAATTGCGGGGGGTTTTTTGGGAATTAAAAAAAAAAAAAAAAACAGACCAAATGGGGGG